TTTTTCTACAATTTCCAGTTGAAAGAAATCGCGCAAACTCCGCGTTAATTATTTATCGATCTTGAACACAATGCAATTCTAAACTGAAGTTGGAGTAATATCGCAAATTAAATTGACAAATAATTTAATATTATTGATGTTAATAAGCATCTTTAAAAACACTGTGAAGAATTTATTACACCAACGCTCGACTTAATCCATCGAAATAGCTGTAGTGTCTGTCATTTCGAAGAATCATCACGTATCGGTATTTACCGCGATTTTAATGGTTGATGCCTGTCATCTTTAGTAAACGCGGTGTGAAGCGAAGGGCGAATAGGAAAAAAGAGGCACCACTCGGACACCCGTCGAGAATTCGAAATTCGAAAAGAAGAATGATGCATCAAAATATGTCGAAAAAATGTCAAAACGTTCGTCGAGATGGAGGAAGGTAGGCGCGGATCGAATCTCGAGACGATCCCTCAAATATACCGACTAGCGTTTTTGTCAAAGACCGAGAAAACAGCGTAAATGCATCATCCATCGACGAAGTTCTTTATCCTTCCATTTGCTTGCGCTTTTCACATACAAAAGTCACATTTTGGTACTTGGATCGACAAGCTGAACCGATGAAATGTGCTACTTGTAATTTCTACCAGAAAAAAAACTAAGTACAAACATCAGATTCTCTTAAGGAAGAAAATATCTCGTACAATTTTTTTATCGTTATAATCATCGTGTATATCATAATTTTATTTAGTTACTCAATAGATTGTTGAAAAAACGCAAAACTTTAAAATATATATTGCAGCGATTGACGTATCGATCACCTGGGAAATAACGTTTTCTCGTTATTATATATTTTCATCTAACAACTTTCGTACGTATATTTCAACTTAATAACTTTCAACTTTCGTGCGATATTTCTGCTAAGTACACAGTTTAAATCACAGTGCCATTGTTGGTCAAGAACGCAACGGAACGCGATAACTCTGCGGGCTGCTATAATGGAATTCCGTGACTTACAGCGCGACTTACAACACGACCGCTGTAGCATCGTATATACATCAGATATTAAATCCGCAGATTTGCTCGACGGCATCAATTTCTTCTCTGACACGTATTTCGGGATATTGGAAAATATGTCTTCTCTCTCTCCGTGATCGAAGGGGATCTACGGATCGAGAGAGAGTCGATTCGCGCGAGGCGCGTTCTTACGACTGCAAAAATTCCATTCGGAGGCAATCGAGACGTCTGCGGGAACGAAAATAAAAGTCAGTTCAATCGACACTGCGCCGCACCGCGTCGCGACGACGACGTCTGCTCTCGTCCTTTTCGGTATGCTTTTATCCCAAACGACGGAGAGATCCTTTCGCTAACGTAGACGAAGTTGTAGACGAGGAGAACCCGAAAATGAAACTGTCACTCTGCTCTCGCGGCTATCTTCTTCCTGACTTCAACCTTCCAAACCACGAGAGAAAGCTTCGCTGATCTCTCCTTTCGCTGGTTTCTCGCTCGGATTTACTTTCCTATTTTCGCGAGCCGTTGTCGACCTAAGACTTTGATATAACGCATTATATGATAAATCTCCGACAGATAAATTTCCAGATTATTTCCTTAATGGCAAAATAATCTAAGCAGCGAATTTCTTATTTATCATATATTCGTTTCCCAACATAATCTAAGTCGCATATCATGATGTGGGATTGATAACATTATCAGGGCATTGCAAAAGTTCGTATAATCAAGATTAAATGTTACTAGAATTTATTGTAAAATTTTTAATTATATGTATATTATTATAATGTTGGATTTTGCATTATATCAATTATATTCCTTGGTGTGTGTCATGAAATTTAATATTGAGTTAATTATGGAATTTGATAAAGTATTCGTTAGTGTTATTTATTTATAACTAGAAAAAGACTGCATGTCATGAGGATTATACTTATAGCGAGTTAACTGTTTCTGAAAGTACCCTAAGTTTCAATTATATGATTTAATTATCTATTCTGATGTACTGAATTAAAAAAAAATCAGAAACATCTGTTAAATATTAAAACTGTTTAATCTTAAATTTGTGATACTCAAGGAATACAATTGTATGCTGCAGGATATCCAACTGCATTCCTTGATTATAATAATACATATAACTAAAACATTTTATAATAAATTCTTATAATGTCTAACAATGAATTTTTTGTAAACATGAAATAAGATTATCATTATGCTTTCGATCGTTAAAGTAGATTTAGTTAAACGATCGTTCTTGACCATCAGTCCATTTAACTGTAAATACTGCATTGTACACCAACGCAGCAAATAGATGCTTAGAAAAACTTTTGATACGATTACGAACACCCTATAGATAGCGAAATAACCGTTCCATATTATATAGGGTGGTTCCGTATGCAAATAAGGCTTCTCTTTCTGTTCGTTCCTCGAGCTCCACCCCCGTCCTCGGGCGCCCATTGTCCGTTGTTGCATACTTGCGCGTGCACACAAATACACGAAACGTTACTCACGTACTGTCGTGTACATACACGTAACGCGCACACATGAAACACATATAGCGGTCGCTACAAGTATATTAATAATAATATACGCGGTGGCTCCGGGATCTGATATAATTATAGTCCGGACGCGGGCAGATAGCATCGACAAAGATTACGCCGGCTACTCTCCGTACAGGACAAACCGTTGTAGAGCATCTTTATACTTATCGAGCCGCGAGCATTAGAGTGCATTCACTTTACGGTCTAAGAAAACGGGAATATGCGAGAAGAAAGCATGATACAAGACACATGTTAAATTTCTAAAAAGAAACTGTCGCGCTGTTTATAATATAAGTTTAGTATTAAAATATATATTATCATGAGAGGCTCATTAACGAATAATTAGATTAGCTTATTATTTTTCTATTAATTATATGATTATATTACGATAACGAACGATTAGATTACGATAAGGAAAATGAGTAGATTAACATACTATTCTCTATTTTTAGTTCTATCTAAATGAAATTGTAACACACGTTAATCTCTCGCAATTATCTTAAATAAGTATTACGCATCTAAAGTTTTAACTTCACTTAAAGTTGTTAATTGAATTTTGAAGAAAAATAATTGCTTTTTGTTATCGTTTATTAAATTCAGGCTATTTCGAAATAAGTCATTCAATGTAATTTCATTACAATAGGACACTGGTTGGTTTTTATGTAATACAATAAACAAGAAAGGGAGATTTTCATTTTTCTAGATGATATCTAAACTTCTTTGATCCTACTGAAATATCAGTGCGAAAATCATACATCTTAGACCGCTTCATCGCAGATCGCAGATTAATGTTCGCACTAAGATCATTTCGTGCAGATGATACCATCCTTCTTCATATTAGAAGGGCGCGAAATCTCGGTAAGATCTGCAAGGAAAACGAAAGAAAGTTTATCGCCCAACCGCCAAGCTACTTTCCACCCCGATACAATATTTACGAGGCGATGCATCATGACCAACAATGGCTCATAACACCCTCGTCGAAGAAAAACCACCCCGATGACCTCCAACGAGATGTGCGTACGTATTTATGTGTTTGTGTGTTTGTGTCTTACGTGTGTACGTCTGTGCGTCGTTCCTGAAAAGAGGGTAAGAGCGTCCCTCACAGTCGCACGCACTGTGTACATTCATGTGTGCACGCATGTGGATACGTACGTGCGCCTATTACCCGAGGGCTATATCGTATCGGAGGCCAACAGATAACTCTTATCTCGACGAAGCAGTATTCTTACCGATTTTTGGACGGGGAAGAACGTCGAGTTCAGGGCTGTGCTTATGCGCGACTGGAAGTCGTGAAAGATCGATCGCTGCGTATCATCCGAAAATTTCTAAAGTTATAAAGTTATTTTTCACATTAGAACAATAATCTATAAAAGTTTTAATATAAAATTAAATTTGTCCAAGAAAATGGACAATTCTCCTCGAACACGGTTTTTTTTATGTTATTGAAATTGTTAAATTTTATTTTACTATATTATTTTATATAATGATATTTAATTTTATGTAGCGATATATTGCTGTACGTTTAATATATTTAAAGGAAGATTGAAAAAATTAAAAGGAAAAAAGAAAGGTAAATATATCATCGAATAATGTGTTGAAAAATAAAAGAAAAAGTTCTGCGTTATATGAGAATTTTAATATATATTTTAGTTTGAGAATATTTCTAATAAGATTCCACGATACGGTACTGAATATTGATGATCACGCATAAAGTTCAGAGTTGAACGACGTGCGTCTAAATAACTAGTAGCGTTTGGTGTGACTAAAAGTAGGGGTTGTGCTGAGGCAGACGACCGGAAGGGACGAAATTCGCGCGCGACGAACTGCGAGGGGTTGTACGCGTGCCTCTCCACAATCCCTCCCGGGGATGAGGCTAAATCGACTAAACATATACCTTCCGCTTCGTTTAACTGCCGAATATGTTTTAGATTTACTTCGACCTTAGGTATACCGTTACTCGATAAGTCCGCCAATTAGATACGCTGTTCTAACTTGGATTATCGGCCAATTTTCTCGTGTAATACATGTTTCAATTGAAAATTATTTTATCTTATAATTAATTTGGATTTTAAAAAATTTGAATTAGCGATAAAAAAGTGTACGTATTAAATATAAACAAATAATAGAATAACTTTTTATTATTAACTGATGTTTAAAATAATGTGAACGACATAATTTACAATTTGCAAAAATTAATTAGTGTTAATAGAACGTAGACATTAGATATAATAAATATTTATTTGATGTAAAAGATTTATATGTTAAAAATACTAATTTACAAGTCATAGAATATCTTTTGATTTTATTATGATTTAATTATTACTAATTGCATCTTAAATTAAATAAATGTGAAGGGCCGAAAGAGGATGCGAATGTGCTAAGAATTTTGACCGCCAAAGGTGGACGCCCAGCACTTTATTCGATAAACGCCCATTCACAAAATCTGAATGCATTAACGTGTGACCTTGCCTCACCTTTGTAACCGCGATAACCACAGAGGAAGATGAAGATGATGACGCGGCATAGTTATCCGATCGTCCTCTATTATTAGAGCGCAGCATTGTTTCAACAGCACTCCATGATTGACCAATTACCGTTACATCATGTTAGTTGATTCCCGAAGACTCCCGGATTTATAAAAGCTACTGAAAATTGCTTTCATAAAGACTGGATACAGGCAATTAATTACCGGCATTGAAAAGCTGCACAAAAATAGAGAAGTGAAAAATTAAGCAGAATTTTTTAAATATAAAATAAATATAAAATAATTTAATTTCTGTCTCTGTATTTAATACAGAATTCGGCAAAAAAATCATATAATGTTATTTTTAAGCAAAAAATAATAATTCTTTAATCTAAATCTCCATAAATCTCTTTTTAATTACCTTATCTTACATTTTGAAATTCTTATATAAATGTGAATGTTTTTCTTGAATTTTTTATTGCAATTTATCAATTCGACCGATGAGATATAAAAAAATTTCAGGAAAGCGTTTAGATTTATACAAGAAATTAAAAATATGAGACAAAGTCGTTTACAGGAACTAATATTATACATATACATATTTTTTTTTACAATGAAAATACGCAGAGTTTTTTTTTCATAATTTAATCTCCAATAATGTAGTATATAATAAATATTTATTTAATAAAGATTTATGTTAAAAATTTACAAGTCATAGAATATCTTTTGATTTTATTATAATAAATCCAATAATGTAGTTATCGTGAACTGCTTGCAATCAAGCGTTATAAAAAGCATGTCGATAGTGTTTGTATCAGTAACCCTTTTTTTAGTCGACGATTTTGCCAGGAGTAATCGCGGTGTACGTTCTCGCTATCGAGATTATACTAACCGGATTAGCTTGCGGTAGCAGGTTGTCGTGCTTGGTTAGTTAATAGTCTTTGGTAAACTATCGGCGAGCAATACGGGGTGGCCGTTTCTGTCCCCCATTAAGAAGCCCCTTAACGAGGGTTACGTGGCCAGAACGTAATGCGGATATCCCGCGGCGATCCTGTCGTTACTATCCACCGTATAATTCGCGCTGCGCATCTGCCAGTCTCTTAGGAAAGCGTAGGTCCTGATACTTCTGATCGACAGGATTTATTCGGGCTGTTCCCCTGTAAAAATATATGCTCCTGTGAGAATATATAGACACTAAAGTGAAAGACGAATGTAATTGAGACATCTCAGATTGGTACATATGGCCATTTCCGCTTGAAACATTAATCCCTCATTTGCATCGATAGATTTTAGATAAATATATGTAGAATACCCAGTAAGTATCAATCAACAATAACATTAATGTTGTAATTTCACAATATAATGATAACAATATAATAATATATGTTGTATGTAATAACAATATAATAGTACGTAGTAACAATATTATGTTACTGCTAATTAATATTTACTGAATAAAAAGTTGATAATTTAAGCTGGTAATAGAATAATTAATAAAATAATCAAAGTTAGTAAGAAATCGTTTTTTTTAAGCAAGTAAACTGCTTTAAATTTCTTTTTCTCTTTCTTTAATAAAAATTTATTATAAATACTTCGGACTAATTCTCTCTCTCTATCTCTCTCTCTCTCTCTCGAAATTCCTGTATTCAAAAATATCTTCATATAAATATGACTTTTTTAATTCAATAATGTACCATTTAAAATATAAAATACTAAATTACTTTTTATAGAGCGGATTTTATGGAAAATATTAAGAATATGTTGAATTATATATGATATTAGGAATTCGGCGAAGCGTTTCATTTACGAGGATTCTGACGATAGCGGGCGTTCGCGACGCTGCGTTGAGAGACTGAAACTTCAGCTTCCCTCTATTCGAATGAATGGAATTAGTGAGGAGGCTAGCTGAATAATATCGGCTCTATCTGTGGGGGCTAGACCGGGAGATGAAACGTATCAGCACGGTGTATCTGCATAGATGTGGGAGACGGGTGCTCTCGCCTCGCATCGTAGATGCGAAGAAGACCAACCCTCCTCGTCACCTCCATCTAAACTCTTCTTTCTTTCTCTTTCCCCTTCTAGCACATCCCAATTTTTCAAATAGGAACGGAAGAACAAAGTACGCCATTTCGCGATTGTCAAAATCTCTTCTTATACTCTCGCAAAATATGCATACGAAATTATGCCGTTTAAATGTACTTCAGTACAGTTTATTGTATTTCAATACAACATCAGTTTTTCAAAAAGTAGAGATTAGTATGTAAAAGTTTAAGAAAATTACTTTATTATAAAAATTTAATAAATTTCTTGAGAGAATATGATAAATTAAAAATTTGCACGTATTAGAAATCAGAAAAGAAATAAGACACTCTTATCTAAAAACTTTGTAAACTTAAAAAAACCAGAACAAAGAAATGTGACAGATTGAAATAAATTTCAGCTTTTCTTTTCACGTCCGCGGTCTCGTTAACGTTCTCATTCGTCGGAATTGTCGCTCGTTGAATAACAGTAAGTGAAATAATTTCTCGGAACTTCTCGATGTATTTTAAGATTACGACGCATCCGCGCTCAACACCAACGCGTCAGATTATTCTTCGTAATCGTAACAATATTCAAATCTCGACCAGTGCTACCGTCGGAGATATTAGAAATGCAAATATATGCCACGAAATCCGAAATACGTTGGCTCGCCAGCAGTAATCTCGCGGACAAGAGAGCAATCAAAAGACATCCTGTTATCCCCGGGGAACATACTTAACTCCAGTACCTTTCTCGAACCGGATCCATCGTCAATTCTACGATCTTCGAAATGCTCCTCTTATTTGACTACTATGTGCCACACCCTTTTCTTACATCATCAAGGTGTATCATCAAGGAAAATTCTTGAAGATGTCAATAACACATTTTTCTATTAATACATTTCCTCTCTTACTCCTTCTCTAAATATTTACAAAATCATATCTTTTATAAACAATATAAATACGTTAAATTATTTTATTGATATGTGTATATCAAGAAAATAGGATTTTAAATTATATGTATTCATTATTTAAAGAATTTGAAAAATAAAGAAAGTAAAAATAATTCAAGGTACAGATATTGTTTGCGATAATGTCAATGATCTTTGATAATCTAATTATTTTAGATGAAAATATAATTGCGATTATTTTTTTTATAAATGATTTTTGTCGGATCTGATTGCACCCTATTAAAAAATTCCGTTCCCAAAATCAAGCAGGTCATGTTCGCATTTAGGAAGCTGGCCTTATGTGACAAGGGTTCGACCGCGACGATACCGCTCGTTTGTCACTGACACCGCGATGTTCTACAACGACATCGAAGAACATCCTTATGGTTCTAACGAATGACTTAACTAACTCAATGCGACTCGATGGCTGATCATTTCAACCATAATTGGATTTACAGCCATGATAAAAAAAAACATGCGTTTAGAAAAAAATAAAAGAAAGAAAAAAATATACGCAAAATATTGAAATTTATGCGAAAATCAAAAGAATCAATCAAGAAATATTTTTATTATAAGACTTGTGAATTTGTAGAATTATAAGATCGTTTTAAAAATAGAACTAGTGTTTAGAGAACGAATGTTACTTTTCTCAAAATTTTCTCAGATTTCATTATATTTCTCTCTAAGCGGAACTTATCTCTACGAGCGCAAATATAGACATTGGAATATAATAAAGTAGAGAGTGACTTGTGCGTGATTTTAGGCAAAATCAAATTCAATGGTGGCGAGATTGATATCCTGTTACTTGTTGGTTTTAGAACCCCCAGAACGTTACAAGACCTCCTACAGTCATCTATCGTGCTATCCTCTTTCCTTCCCTTCTTCTTTCCGCCAGTAAATCCCCCAGGATATGGGTCTATATTTTGGAATGAATATAATATATTAGTTACACCAGGAATCTGATGCAAGATGTCACGAAGTTATTCGTTTTCATATCTAAGGGTTGTTTAGATCATTTCCTCTTTGATTCAATCATTTCTTGGAATTTGTTAGAATTTCTTACCTAGCTTGATAAAAAATACAATAAAAAAGAACGTTCTTTTTTCCGTTTTACGATACTATTTTAAAATATATAATATTATTTTAAGCAACTATAGACTACGGTTATTTAATTTAATGGTCTTTTCTCTTACATTTGTAATTAGTACGCCATTATTCTTAAATAACTATATATCTTATATTACAATGATTCAGAAATATTCTATAAATTCGATATTCATTGAAATTACAGCACAAGCTGCGCTGTGTGTAATTTATCATGCGCAATCGTCTCGGATGTGGCTACGATCGGTTGACCACAATAGCCCGTGTTGATGGAGACTCCCTTCGGGCACTCTGACACTCAACGGTACCAATAAACGCAAACAAATTTCTTGAGGACCCGAGACGAGCCAGGGGAAAACGCTTGTCGCGTTTTCCTTCGTATTATATAGAGACTTATAGAAGAATATTCTCGTGAAACCGTACGTCGTCGCGAGTCTTCCTCTTCTCGGCACGCCGCTTGACAATGGTAGTACACAATGCTCGCCAAATTACGGCTGTTCCAGTCAAAATACGTTTTCTACGGGCTCTTCTCCTCTCTTTCTCTCTCTGTCTCTTTTTCTCGTACATACTCTGTCACCCTCCCGGTCTCCATCTCGTTTCTACTCGGGGCCCGTTCTCCGTTTTGGTAATCGCGATCGACCATCTACGGCCACCGTGCATCGGGTGACCGCAAACTGCAGCTGTATTTTCGGTTATCGCCGATCACCGATCTGCGGATTTTCGGTTTTTACGGAAGGCACGAGGGGATGGGAAAAAAAGAGAAAGAAAGGATGAGAACTAACGTCTCACTCCTCTCGTACTCGACATCACTTCGCTTTTTACCGTTAATGTTACTCAGCATTTCTCTGTACTTGCGTTTTCAGCAAACATGTGTTACACTTCGAAAACCTGTATTACATTCGAAACAACAATTGAAACTCACTTCTTCCAAAATTGTCGTGTTCATTGATACTGCAAAATTATTTGTTTAACTCTGCTGATTTGTTCAAAAAAAGTTTATTATACAATCATATTATTTGGGTCAATTTTGTAAAAAAGCTCTAAAAAATAAAAAAGTTATACAGAAAAAAGATCTTACATTCACAGATGAAGTTACCAAATAGATCAAATGGACCTAGAGAAAAAGTTTCTAAACAAGCTATTAGTAGGAAAATAAATTATATTTTGGAAATAAATCTGAACAAAGTAACTAGTAAGATTGAATCTAATTTTGTTTAAATCTGGTCGTTTGAATCCAGTAGTTAAATCAACAAGTTTATTTGTTATCCTTTTTTACATATCGCCTTTAATCGGTTCAAAGTTTGAATATATTTATCTTACTATAGGAAATGAGAACCCAAATGCAAAATCAGTCTAGACCGTCGACAGAAAAAGATGAGGTCGCTTTCTTTCTGAAGATCGTCTTATAGTTTGCAGTATATACATCTTCCTCGCGCAACGGATGTGAGTTTCGCATTCCCCGGATCCATTTTTTGCGTACCGAAAATCCGTAGTTAAAAACTCTCCGATAGCGAACGATAGAGAATCGTATAGGCGCGAGGGCGAGCGTTAAGCAGCTGTCGCCCATTCGGTGCCATTGTCGCGCGATGTTGAGTGTTCCCGAACAGTGGAGAACGACCGGTATTGTACCGCTCCTGAGATCTGACGATTACTGGGTGTGCGATACTATCTCATCTGCATCGGACCGTCCGCCTCTCTCGTTCTTTCTGCGCCTACATAAGTACGTGTCTACGAGCGTGTACCACTGCCCCAGAGAATTAGAGAAATATAGCCCTGTCCACCCTGGAAGCACGCGAAGAAGTCTTCCGGTCAAACATCATCCGACGCGAATTTAGATGTCGAGATTGCGCGAGCATCTCGGCCCACAATTGAATCGTCGCGCCGAGATGTCTTTATTAAGGTGGTCGCATCATGTGGAAAATTTGCCGACGAGGCTCGTCGACAAAGTTGAGGTGCGTGTCGTCTCTGTTGTGACAGGATCGCGGATTGCTGCAATCCGATGTCGGTTGATGGGACGTCGCTTGACGAGATTGCGCTCACATTCTGATGTACTTCTCATATTACGTTAGGACATTTTTCGAGTAC